GAGGCAAGAAGCTGGCGAGTGGGGGAGGAGGAGGCAAGAAGCTGGCGGGTGGGGGAGGAGGAGGCAAGAAGCTACGCATGAAGAAAGTTCACGTTGACTTCAAACCCGTAGAAATCCTTTCATTTGTTGTGTCCCAGATTTCAGGCCACGCCGGAGAGTTAATTGGGCTTTTCAAGCCTTCCACTAAACGCACTGTCGCCGGTCCTTTCTTCTTTCCAACGTCTCCGTCTTTGTGTGTCCTGAGTGGGTCGGTACGGCTATTAAATATGCATTCTTTACGCACAACAACTAAATCAAAGCACTTATGGATTTTCCTCATTAAGAATCCGGCTAATTAATCAATTCAAAGCCGTTTTTAAAAAAAAAACCCGTCCAAGGAAAATAAATGAGAAAAGCTCTCGGTGTATTCTTCATGTTCACCTCAAATTGCCTTTCCCTTTGATAGGAAGACATATTTGTATAGCATGAGATGTAAGGCCTGCATGCGTTGGACGCGGCGCCCGTGGCAAGGAGCGGTGCGCATTCATCTACAGAGCAACCCCCCACATCTGTGAAGAACTCGCACGGAGCTTACACTTCATTACGGCCCGTACAGATATTTGGAGTATTGTCCCCCTGCCACCCGGGGTGACTTTACCCCAATTCCACTAACAGAGTTCTAGCCGACCTATGACAATGAGACTGTCACAGGTCGGCTCAGTAGATCGGGAGGTGAGAGAACACATACCGGCGTTCGCTCACTTCTCGATCCTGTCACAGCTCTCTGCCGTGACAGGGGAGGGGCTGGTCACATCCAAGGGTCACCATACATGGCACAATCCGGCCGTACAGCCAACTGTGGATTCACCAACATGATGGACTGTAAGGACCTGTGTAATGTAAATGAATTTAGAACCAATCAGGAAGGTTCTTGGTAGAAGATCGTACAATCGGATTGCAATGCGTTTAGTGAATCTCAATCCCGTTGTCTCTGGAGACGGATTCCTTGCGCAGTTCCTCGCAGCCAGCTGGTCATGTCATGGATGTGAAGGAACATTGGATTGGTTGCCATGGTCAGCACAGAATTGCTCTCCTCCGGGAGTTTGGATGATTCTATGCTGAGATCCGGGCTGCGTGCGTGCCGTGTGAATGGTTAACGGGCAGGAGGAGGAATGTGACGTCTCAATATCCGTGGAATGTGCACTGCACGGCATCCCATTGTTTAAAATTAGCCACTGACCCAGATTGCATGAGGGAGCCCTGAGGGGACATCTCAGGATGGAGACGCCGCAGGTAACGTGCTCACTGACATTGTGTGGAGGAGGGAGACGTCCTCAGATTATGGCTGTGTCTCCTCTGCGCACCATTTGTGGAATCTCTGACAGCCCCCCCCAGTGACAAAGGAGCTGACACTCTACTGAGAACGTATTAAAGATGCTGAAGCTCCAATATGGGGAATCTCAGTATCTCTGGTGCTCTGTAATGGTCAAAATAAACAGCAATCTGACATCTGAGCGCCGTGTGGAGAGCCCACTTCCTGCCTCTCGATAACCACTTCCTGCACCCCCAAAAAGAACCTCTAGACTGCAGCAGTTGACATGGTGCTGGGTTGGCTGGTGAGCTGATGGCCCGGGACATGCTGCAGTTTTGCTGGGTTCCCAGAACGACATCTGCGGATCACTTTGAGGCTTTGCATTCAATTCCTCAAACCCAGAAATGAACCCCAAATGATCTAAACAGGTCAAATCTCCAATAAAAGAATGAGTCCACTGAGAGCCGGCTGTGATTGGGTTGCCGCACTGATATTGTGGACGTATTGCAGGAGCCCCAATGCCCGTGGCCGGCACGCCGGTTTTGTGTCCGATATAAGACCTAAATACCCGAGTGCCCCTGCAAAATTCTGATCCCAGCTCGGCAGCGGCTGGTACCCCAGCGTCAGGGGGTATCTGCAGATTGTAGGTGTTCATCCAGCCGGTTTGGTGCGCCCCTTTTGGGCCCAGTATTTGGGGGGACCCCTCGGCTGCCTATAGGACAATGCCGGTGCACCCGGAGCGCGTTGCTGGTGGTGAGAGTATGGGGGGGCGTGCAGTCCGCAAGCGAGGTCTCTGAGCAGCGCAGAGCTGTGCAGCTTTTCTGAGCAGCTCCGTAACAGACCATCAAGCAGCCGGATTATAGGATTACAGAGCATTAGATGAACTGTCAGCACCACAGTGTATATCAGACATTCTCCGCAGAGGTGGCAGCTACTAAACCCCGGCCATATAATCCTTCCCACCCAGAATCTGGCGGCAGGCAGTACGTGGGCTGCTCTAAGTGGCGCCGGAGAAAGCGGCTCAATTAACACCCAGCCACTTTGCAGACGATGAATAGCGAGACTTTGGGGCTTTCTTAGTAAGTGCGCAGATCACCGATGTGCAGCGATCCGCGGCACAGAACGTTCCAGGACCCGACGCTCGCCGCGGGTGACTCAAAACACATCTTTAGCTTATTAAGAAAACGCCAAAAGCGCGCGGACAGTAGGGAAACGCTGCTTTCAGTCACTTACCTCTTCTCTTTCCTTGCTGCTCCCCCCTCCCCCCGAGCTTGCTGGAGTTTTATTCTTTATTTCTTGTATACTTTCCCTAAATGCAACTTTAAGCATGCGTCAACATCCTGCCGCCAACAACTGACCCACTGTCGATATAAACCAATATATTTTCAGTTTTTTTTGTCATGCACAAACAGACAGCACCTCAGTGTGACTCATAACCCCCTCCCCCCATGGTGTGGATTCCATGACTAAGACATTAAAAAAAAAAAGGTGCAACCTACATTTCACACATCTGATCCTTAACTCTGATTGGTCAGACGAGCCACCGCGTCAGCGTAGAGTCATTGCTGGATATAGCGATGCAAATGTGCGGTAACCCAGAGCAACCGGGTCAGTGAAGGATTCGCGCCGGTTGCTATAGGTAACTGCACATGGTGCAGCCCCAGATAGACCGACGCACCTCCAAGAGTTAGGTTGCACTGAACACAACATGCCCATAATAAGCGACACAAAAGTGATTGGAGATTGGCAGGTGGACAAGCTCCGCACCGACGCAGTCTGTGTGTGCATTCCTTATGTTCTGGCATCAAAGGACTCAATTTCTCCCTTGTGAGATGAGAATGTTCTCCCCCCTCCCCCCCCTCGTGTGGTTTTGATCTGTCGGTGTAACTCTTCTCCAATATAATGTCCTTTATCTGATGCTTTGGTTTGTTTCACAAGTCCCGCCCCTTTCCTGCTTCTAAATTGAGCTGCGGAAATACGCATTCTACGAAGGAACAACTTTAGCTGCGTCAGTGATCCGCACCGTGTAAGGACCGCGGTGGGCGTGTCAA